AAATTCAAGCCCAACCTAGTCTATGTGGCAAAATCCTACCTTTTAAAAAGTAGAAATATGAGCTGAGCGTGGTGGTGCATGCCTCTGATCTCAGTACTTGGGAGGCAGAGGAAGACAGATCTCCTGGAGTTTGAGACCAGTCTGGTCTACATAGCAAGTACATAATGAGTCTCTCTCTCTCTCTCTCTCTCTCTCCTCTCTCTCTCTCTCTCTCTCTCTCTCCTTCTCTCTCTTACACACACACATACACACAGGCAGAAACAAAGCGGGGCACACTGATGTACACCTGTAAATCCCAGTACTCAGCAGCAGAGGCAGAGGATCAGAGTTCAAAGTTATCCTCATCTTCCCGGAGAGTTCCATGCCAGCCTTGGCTACACAAGACCCTATCTCATAAAAAGAAAGGCAGGGGACCAGGCATATGGCTCCAGTCAGCAAAGCACTTGCTGCTCCAACATGAGGACCTGAGTCTGGATCCCCAGCACCCACATAAAAAGCCCAGTGAGCATCCCTGTAGTCCCAGCCAGAGATCACAGGAGACCTTCTGGGGCCTGCTGATCTTGCAGAATCTTGCAGAATTTCTGTGCTACGGGTTCCATGAGAGACCTTGTTTTATAAGGCAGAAGGCTCATTCTTATTGAGTGAGAATGGCTTTGCCACCAAACCTAGGACCCACATAGAAGAACAAGGGAACTGCCCCTCACAGATGGTCTCTGATGTGTGTGTGTCCGCACAATCGCACAGACACATCAACTTGTATACACATATACACGGGAGGGAGGAAGTAGAGATAGAAATGGGGGTAGAAGGTGCTCATACACAAAAAGAGACTGTTGGCATGGCTCTTTTGCCACAGTCTACCAAGACTGAACCGGGTTTCTGTCCCTAACTGGAACTCAGTTTTCTCCATCAGGAAAGTGAGAGAACTGAAATAGGTAACCTCCCGGGGTCCTTCTAATCATAAACTCCAAACTCATCACTCAGTGCTTTCTGTTCTCTTTGTTATAAAGTATCCAGTTACTCACTGAAGACCATGGGCTGTCTGCCCTGTCTGAGGACACCATCTGACTGTTAGAGTTGTGCCCCGGGCCAATCCAGCAAGCACAGTGCACACCTCAGTCTGTAAACTACACCCTGGTGCTATCTCACTCACTTTCCCATTGCTGGGATAAGAGACCCTGGCAGAAGCAATCTGAAGGAAGGAGGGTTTCTTCTGGCTCACGGTTTGAAGGTGCAGTCCATCATGGTGGGAAGTCATGGCGGCAGGAGCCTGAAGCAGCTGCTCATATTCGCTGGGAAGAAGCAAAGAGCAATGAGTGCTTCTGCTTGGCTTGCTTTTTCCTTTTAATTCCATCCAGGATCCCAGACCAGGAGATGGTTCCACTCCCAGTGGGAGGGTCTTCCTACACAAGTACACCCAGCGGCCTGTCTCCTGGGTGATTCCAGATGCTGTGAAGTTGACAGTCAGCATTGACCCACGCAGGTGGTACACAACCCGACTATGCTCTTTGATTTTGTAAATAAGTAAGAGTACATACACATGCGCACACGCGCACATATACACACATTCCTTTTCTTCATGTTTGTTGAGGGATACATGTGTGTATGTGTATTTACATGTATGTAGGAACAAATGTGTATGCAAGTGCACATATATGTCCTGGAACTCGCTCTGTAGACTAGGTTGGCGTTGGCCTCAAATTTAGAGATTCGCTTGCCTCTGGAGTACTGGGATTAAAGGCATGACCCGCCACACCCAGCTCAATTCCTCACAAAGCTTTTTAAGGTGTCAAGGGGATTCTTCAGGTTTAGGTTGGGGCTTTGGTGGTTGTTGTTGTTGTTGTTTATTTGTTTTGGGGGATGTTGTTCAGGATTTTTGTGGATTTTTAAAAATTTTTATTTTATTTTTAACTACAGGTGTGTCTCTGTGGGGTACAGGCACTTGAGTGCAGGTGCCTGTGGAGGACAGAAGGGACTGTCAGATCCACAGAGCTGTAGTTACAGGCCCTTGTCAGCTTCTCAGTATAGGAGATGGGAACTGAACTTGGGACCTCTGCAAGAACAGCATGTGCTCCTACAGCTGAGCCATCTCTCTAAGGCCCTGTTTGAGTTTCTGGAGATAAAGTCTCAAACTCCTGCTCCTCCTGCCTCCCTGACAGTTGAAGTGAATCTTGGGTGGAGGTGGCCAGGCTGGGAACAGCAGAGATAGGAAGGAAAAGGGCTTGCAGTGGGGGATGAGACAGCCACGCTGACTAGATAAAAGAGCAGAGAGGACTCTGTGAGAAACAGCAAAGCCAGTCTTGGCAGGCTCCAGCTGGCTCCCAGGAAGCAGCCCTATGGAACATTCCAGAGACACTGTTGTCCTTTCATAAGTTTTTGCACCCAGTATAGCTAATTGCAGCAAACAAAATGGCTTCTCAGAAACCGTCACTGTCCTGGGAAGGAGACCACCCCAGAACTTCCACAATAAATGAGGGAGAAAGAGAGGGATATGTCCAGGGCCAGAAGCCAGGCAGCTGCCAGACAGACAGACAGACATGAGAAGCAGTGAACAGTAAGATATACAGAAGGAAGAAAGATAAAAATCCCCAAGGCAAGGGCTGGAGAGATGGCTCAGAGGTTAAGAGCACTGACTGTTCTTCCTGAGATCCTGAGTTCAATTCCCAGCAACCACATAGTGGCTCACAACCATCTATAATGAGATCTAGTACCATCTTCGGGCCTGCAGACATATAGACAGACAGAACACTGTATATATAATAAATAAATAAATCTTTAAAAAAAAATTTAAAAATTAAAAAAAATAAAAAAATCCCCAAGGCAAAACAAAGATGAAGAAAAACAGGTTAAGTTATAAGAAAAACAGGTTAAGTTATAAGAGCTAGCAAGAAGCAAGCCTAAGCTAAGGCTGAGCATTCATAGCTAATAAGTCTCCATGTCATGATTTGGGAACTGGTTGGTGGCTCAAAAGTTTTTCTTTTGAGCCTGGTACAGGCTGCTCTTCCAGAGGACAGGGTTTGATTCCCAGTAGGTAAAGAACCGCCAGCAATACCGTATTTCTATACAGGCTATGATGCACAGAAGCGTGAGAACACCTGCTACACAGATGGTGAAGAGGATGGAGCAGAGAGCATCTTCACCCAGCAGGAGAGGGAGAAGACCGCCAAGTGCAGTGCACACTCAAACTGTTCCCAGAGAAAGCCCGAGTGTAACACTTATGAAAACAGAAGACCGCCAAGTGCAGTGCACACTCAAACTGTTCCCAGAGAAAGCCCGAGTGTAACACTTATGAAAACACCCATCCTGATTGTGACAGAGACAGTTGACCAGTGGAACTAATCTACCTGGCAGCTGTAAGTCCCGGTCTCTGGCCTCCATCTTTGGAGGCCCTGTCCCTGTGCCCGCCAAGTCTTGACCCCTCCCCAGAGGAGGGTCAAGATGAGCCCGCCAAAATCCTGACTATGCCCTCAGTCTATTTAAACTGCTTCCCTGGAAAGTTTCCTCACAATTTCCTCCCACCCCAACCTCCATCCTCTTCCCCTACCCTCCCCTGTAGTCCAGCCTCCAGATGCTTCCGAGCCACCCAAGAGCGCAGGAATCCCATTAAACCTGACTATTTCTTAATTTGGCTTGTTGTGATTTGACTTGTTTGGGATTTTTTTTGCGTTGGCAGAGAGCTCACGTTAGGAAAAATACCTAACAGCAGCATCTCCCGTGTTGCTACTGAAACTACAGAGCCTTCCTAAAAGCGTTCATTTTGTGAACTGTATCTATTGGCCATTCGGATAATTTGTTTTGTTTGTTTTGTTTTTTTGGAGACAGGGTTTTCTGTAGCTTTGGAGCCTGTCCTGGCTGGCCTGGAACTCACAGAGATCCTCCTGTCTATGCCACCCGAATGCAGGGATTAAAGGCGTGCGCCACCACTACCTACCTCTTTTTTCTTCTTTCTTTTTCATTCATTGGCCAGTCAGGTCTTTCTTTCTTCCTTTTTTTTTTTTTTTTGTTTTGTTTTTGTTTTTTGAGACAGGCTTTCTCTGTAATGGAACTCACTCTGTAGACCAGGCTGGCCTCAAACTCAGAGATCCACCTGCCTCTGCCTCCAGAGTGCTGGGATTAAGGGGAGGCTCGTTAATGTATTTTCTAGTCTAGGGAAAGTAGCTCAGTAGAGAGTGTTTTTGTGTAGTTCGTGGAAGGCCCTGGGTCCATTTTCTAGCAGAATCTCACAGAAAGGGGAGAGGAGAGGGAAGAGGGGGGAGAGGGGAGAGTCAGTCAGTCAGTTGCTCCAAGGTGCGAACCTGTGGGGGATTTGGCTAGTATATGCAAGGTCCTAGATTGGATCCCCAGAAAAGGAGGGAGGAAAGGACACCTCGCAGAGGCTTTCATAAAATTGAAACGTTAAGAGAGCCTTTCCCACGTAGGTACTTTGCAGTCGGGGTGACATGAGAACAAAGACAAGGACAGCAGGAATTTGGGCCGGCTCTCATCGGGAGGGAACTGCGTGCATGGGAGACCAGGTGCGGGGCAGGAGCAAAGAGTGCGTGCACTCCGTGCAGAAAGCTCTGGAACCACAGGCCCCGCTTTCTGCACATCTCCAGCCACTCCAGGTCGAGCCCTGCAAAGAAACTGTAAGCTCCTATCAGGGATCTGACGAAACACCAAGGCACAACCCCGACCAGAAGATTTCAGAGCGGTCTCCCCGGGTTCTGAGGCTTAAAAGCTCAGCCATGGCAGTTGAAAACATTCGCCGGCCAGTACGAGGTGGGGGGGAGCCGGAGCTGCAAGGCAGAAAAGGGCGGGAAAATAAAGCGCTAAAGAAAGAAAGAACGGGCTGCAGGGAGGGAAGGACCTGCGCCTGGAGCCAATGGCTAGGGCCGCGGCTGCGGCGCGTGCGCCAAGCCGCGCGAGATCTCGCGGGAAGAAGCCGTTGGTCCGCGCCGGTGCTGCCGCGGCTGCTGCTGCTGCTGCTGCTGCTGCCGCTGCGGAGTGGTAGGTGGGACGGGGGAGGGGGGAGTGGAGGCGGGAGCGAAGTCTCGCGAGAAGAGGCAGCTGCCGTAGCGGAGCCCTCTGGCTCTGGGCGAGAGTGTGAGTGGCTGGGAGCCGCCGGCGGAGCCGCGGACGGTTTGCTGAGCCCGTTAGTGCCGCCGCCATGTCCCGCTACCTGCGCCCCCCCAACACGTCTCTGTTCGTCAGGAACGTGGCGGACGACACCAGGTGAGAGCACCGGAGCAGCGACTGCGCGGGGGAGGCCGCGGGCGCACGGCGAGCGAGCGAGCGGCGGCCGGCGCGGCGCGGGGGAGGGGCGGGGCGAAGATGGCGGGGCCCGCGCGGGGCCTAGGCCGCGCCACCGGCCTCTGCTGGCCTTGCGGGAGCGAGGGCGGGCGCCGGGCCGCAGCGCAGCGCTGCAGGCGTGCGGAACCGCACGCTTGGGACCCTTCCTCCCCGCGTGCTCCTGGCTTGTCCAGTCTGGCGGGCCGGACGTCTGTTTCTCATTGATCCGACGTCCAGGTTCCACGGGGTGCACGCCCCCTCGCCTTGGAAGGAATTTTTTGTTGTTGAAAGAGAAAAGGTTGCCAGGCGGGGCGGCCCTGGCCGGTGATCCCAGCGCTCGGGGAGACCGGGGCGGGAGCATCGGCGCGAGTTCGAGGTCAGCTCGGGCTACGGAGGGAGCCCCTGTCCACCAAGTCGAAAAACAGAAAAAGATGCTAGTGAGAAATAACGGGATGGCGGGGGAGGGTGTTTGTAGTCTTTATCTTCCCCAGCTGGATGGAGGGTAGTTAATGGGTTAGAGATAATCGGGGAGAGACGGATTGTCGAGATTTGAGAAATTAGCAATTTTCTGGTTAAATGGAGTATCCCTCATGATTCGCGGAAATCGCTTTGAAAACGGAATGCTGAAGAAGCCTCTCCTATTAGAGCTTCATAGTGAACTTAGATAAACTAACGCGGTACTTAAGTAGACCTTGTCACTCGGAAGGTTCTGGGAGTTCGAGATCAGGCTGGTTTTCAAAAAAAAAAAAAGGCTTTGTTTTCAGCGATTCCCTTGCTTTGAATTTCCCCGGAACTTTTTGGGAGAGATTTTTATCACACGATCATACTTATGTCTGTAAAGATTTTCTCTAGAAAAACTGAGGCTTTTTTTGTTGTTGTTAGTTTTGTGGAGTTTTATTTACGGCTAGAAAAATCTCCCTTTTGTCTTTTTACATATTTGCCTTAACTTTTACATAAGGGTTTAGATATTTAAGATTTTTTGTTGGCTGAACTGTTGAACAGTTTTAGGCTAAGCTGGGGGTGATGGCCCAAGCCTGTAATTTCTGCACTTAGAGGCTGAGTTCCAAGGTAACTTGGACTAGGATGAGATCCTGCCTTAAAATAGAGAGATTTAGCGAGGCGCGCGCCTTTAGTCCCAGCATGTAGGAGGCAGGGGCAGGCGGATCTCTGTGAATTGGTCTACAAGAGCCAGTTCCAGCACAGGCCCCAAAGAAACCCTGTCTCAACCAAGAGAGAGAGAGAAATTTTATTTTTCGGGACAGAGTGTCTCTGTAGACCAGGCTTCCCTGGAATTCAGAGATCCGCCCGCTTCTGCCTCCTGAGTGCTGGGATCAAAGGTGTGTGCCACCACCACCCGTCATAATGATTGTGTTTAAAAACATATAAGACCAGCCTTTTATGAACGGTGAAGACTGGATTTTTAAAATTGTGATTATTTACTCTAAGTAAAATAGTAATAGGCTTATAAGCACCTCCTCCCTTCTCTTCCTCAAGACAGGATCTCAGATACAGGCTATGATCTGTCTTAGGCTGGTTTTGAACCTACTCTTTATCCTGCCTTATCCATCTCCATCCTGGTTACTGGCATAAGATACCTTGCCTAGCACCACAGAGTGTTTTCTCTCACACCCCCTTTTCCAGCTCAGACTGTAGCCAGGCTACAGTCCTCCTACCTCAGCTTTTCCGGTGCTTGGGTTACAGGTGAGCTGCCACACTTGGATTTTATTTTTTTTTTTTTTTTGTCAGTTGTTTGGTTTATGTTGTTGTTATTGGGGGTTTTGGGTTTTTTTTTTTTTTGCAGGGCAGGGTGGTTTGTTTGGTTTTGGGGTTTTTTTGTTGTTGTTTTTGGTTTTGTGACAGGGTCTCACTGTGTAGCCCTGTTTTGCCTGGAACTCACAGATTCTCCTTGCCTCCGTCTTCACAGTGCTGGAATTAAAGAATGGTGGGCTACCTGTTATATGATGTGGGGTTGTTCATCTTTAAATTTTTTTTCTTTTCTTTTCTTTTTTTTTTTTTTTTGAAAAAAAAAATTCTGCCTGCTGAGACAGAGTTTCTTCATGTATCCTGGAATTCACTCTACAGACCAGATTGGCCTGTCAGCTCAGATCCACCAGCCTCTTCCTCCTAAGCCCCACCTTTGAGATTCAGGAGGCTTGTTTGTTTCACTTTGGCCAGGACAGGGATCTAGGTATCCATGAGTTATGCTATTATCAACCACAATCCTTACATTCCTTAAGATGATAATGAAATGTAATTGCAGGAACATGAACATAAAAAATTTGAGTTTTTTCATGTTTTAGGTCTGAAGATTTACGTCGGGAATTTGGTCGTTATGGTCCAATAGTAGATGTTTATGTTCCGCTTGATTTCTACACTCGACGGCCAAGAGGATTTGCATATGTTCAATATCCTTTCTTCAGATGGATGATTAGTGAGGGGTGTTGAAGTTTGAAATTCAAGTTTTTATGTAAGTGGTGACATCTAAAAAAATAATCTTTTTTTGTCCTCTAATGTCTTATGTCTTCAAATCTTTTAAAATTCTGATTCATTGCTCTATTTCTTAAAGTTAATCCAAAAATAAACGTTTAAATTCCCATCCGTGCTGCTGAAACTCAAATCAGTGATTTTAATGTGATTTAAATTTGAATACGTTGGTTGCTACCACCTTTGATATAAGTCAAATTATTAAAAGTTAATGTATTCTTGTGCTTAGCAATTAAAGTTTAGTAATCTTGTTTATTATTTTGAATCACTTAATCAAAAACAAATTGTATAACAATGAGGTAAACTTCTTTAATATTGTCCCTAATTTGCTGTCCTCTGTTGTTACCTCAGAATGTAAAGCTGTACAGTTATGGCGACCCCAAAGAGAAAGCATGAAAGAACTTTTAGAGTAGAGTTCAACACTTAAGGCAAGTAGACAAGCCAAAGACCTCTTAAGGATCAGGCTTGAAGAGAAGGGAGAGTTTGGGAAAAGAAAAGATAAAGAAAAGCTGGAAGAAGGACAAGCCTAATGGGAGACAAAGCCTCGCTTTATCCACAAAGGGGGAAAAGGTTGTTTTTCAAAGTTAAAGATAAAGCCATCTGTCATATTTGACCAAGCATCTCATGACAAGTCCTTCTGACAAGCACTAAAAGAGTTAAAGGTCAAGATGAAGTTGAATGATGGCCAAGATTAAAGGAGTCATACCTGATGTATCCTACAGAATAACTACTTTCCTTTTTTTTTATGTTTTTGCAAGCAGTTAATTTGCATAATTATGCCGGTTTGGTCTAGTGACAAAACCTGTAACTTGAATTTGTGTGGGCCTTTGATAATGTGATTGTGGTCTTGTGTGAGTGTATTTTCTCCTACCTTATCAAGTTAAAGTACAGCAAAATATAACATTGTTAAGTTTAAATTCAGAGTAATTGGGTTTTAGACCAGATCATCAGGGGCTCTTTGGAATAGCATGAGGTATTTATTCCCATTCACAGAGCCCTACCTAAAAGGGAGAGACAGGTGCATGCTCTGGGGACTACTTAGGAAAACAGCTGGGGTGTTCTAGGGTATAGCCCTAGAATTTGTAGAGATAGTTTCCTTGTGGTTTGTTTTTGTTTTCTAAGTAGCTGCTGGTTCTTAGAATCCTGCTGGGCCTGCATAATTTAGCACATGCAGATCAGTTGGCCCTGAATGCATTGCAAAGGGCCTTCCTGTTATGGGTCACAATCAGGATGTTGTCCAGTGAGCCTTGACCCAGAGTTTCAGGTGATCTTATTTCTGACCTTCTGTAAGGTTATTTCCCTGCCCAAAAGGGAGAGCGGGTGGATGGTGGGGTTGTGAATTTGGAGCCAGGAAACTTTCTTTTTGCTTAAATTCCATTTCTTGAAACTCTGACCTTGTAAGTTTCTGGTGACACTCAGGGAAAAGTCGAAGGCTGCTTATATGGAGCCAGTGGTCAGGAGAACCTTGTGGATTTGTTATAAAACTTAAAGGGTCATGCCTGTATCTGGTTTATTAATTACATGGATCCAGTCTGGTTCATAATGTTGATCAGGGTTTATGTGGTTTGAGGTAGCCCAGGAACAATGCCAGCATTAGTTTACCTCAAAGTATGTTGTACTTGACAGTAATGGGTAGTTAGTATTCAGAGAATCCAGAGTAGGGAACATGAAACTTTCTTGATGGCCAATATAGTGATACCTGCCTGTCCCTACTGCTGCTGCTGTGTCTTCCATGTACTTCTTCCCAGTTAGCCTTCTCTTCCTATCCTTGGTTTAAGAAAAGGGTAAATTTTAAAACCTTACCCTCTAGACCAAGATTCTGTTTTTAAGGCCAGCACCCCAAGAATACTTTGCCCATATTCAATCTTTGTAGATCTTGATGTAAATCATCTTAAATTATACTCCGTCTCTTGGGGTAACAAAGTAGTATGCCTGTTAAGTGAACTAACTCACATTAGTTTAGCACCTAAGTACAGTTAACCTTGAGGGATGTTTATTTAAACTTTCAAGGTTCTAAACTCAGCCTTTTTATAAAGTTGAAAGCATGGTTATTTGAGACTTTCGAAAACCTCTCCTGTTTAACCTACTTGTCATGGGCTCAGGAAGAGAGCTTGAGGCCTATGACTCTTAATTACTTTCAAACAAAAAGTGGAAATCTAATGATAGGCTGAAGTAGACTGTATTTTATCTGTGGAGTAAATATATCAGTCTTGAAATAAATGTGTCATTTTGAAGATATTTTCTTGATTGGTGCTCCAAACTTGGACTTATAATGTTTCAAGAAATTGAACTGGATATGTTTAGAGTGACGAGTTTAGGGTATGGTGACAATGCATTCCAACCTTTTCTCTCTGACAGGGCCCTTTGTGTACTTACCTCCCATTAGAATGGTGCTTTTTTAGAAAGGATGTTAAAATAACTCAACCAACAGGTTCTCAGAGTACTGTTGTCTGACATGAGAGAGGCAGTTTCATTTTCCAAATGAAAATTGGGTGTTTTTCTACTTAGTGCTGGTAATACTGCCATGACTCTCCAGTGGGAACCAGTCTGAAGTGCTTTCTGCAGAAAGCTGTGGTTTTCATAGTTAGGCTTTTTTCAGTCCAGGGGTCCTTGTGCCACTTGTTGGGAGTGTGCTTTTGCAGTCTGCATGGATGGAATATGCACTTGGCATAGTGATTGAGTGTATTGCCTGATGCTGACTTAATATACCTATCAATGACTAGCATGCCTGACTTTTCCTGTGTAGTTCAAGACAACTACATGAAATAATAGTATTTATTGCCTGTATCTGAAAAAGCTCTTTTTTCTTATAACGCATACTCTGCTTGCTTGTCTGAAAACTGACATCTTTTTTATTTGAAATAAATATGAAAACAGTATTTTGGTTTTATTGTAAGAAACCTTGGTGTCCACCAGAATTTACTGGCTTGTTTTTAATATCTTGTTTTATAAAGTTAATTCTTAGAACATGGGGGATTTTTTATGGTGTAATCTTGGTAGTTCAGTTATAGCAGATCTTATTGCAACATGTATCTATCTACACGCGTTTCTTGAGAAGTGTATACTTTTTGTACATTTTTTTGTAGTATAAGGTATAATTGCAACTGCTTTTATGCTGTATTAATGGCTGAGTCAACCAAATAGTTAAGTAGGGTCTGGATGAACCTATTATGTTATATTGGGCGATTGTGAATTGTTTTGCAAAGCATTCATTATCAAAGTTTACAAAACTTCTCAAGCCCCTTAACATTTAGCACATTTGAGGATGTTCGTGATGCTGAAGATGCTTTACATAATTTGGACAGAAAATGGATTTGTGGGCGTCAGATTGAAATCCAGTTCGCACAGGGGGATCGGAAGAGTAAGTACCCTAAGCCCAACATGTACAATGTGTTGCTTTTTAGACTTCAGGTTTTTTTCTCAAGTCATTTCTCATAAAGAACTTGAAATTAATTGGGTAGTTGTGTGGGTGTGTGACTGGAAATGAATTCATAGAATTAGACTCAGGAAGGCTATCTAGATTAAATGAGTGTTAGTTCCTTTCAACTTTTGTATGTGTTAATTGGAACTGCATGATTGTATGTAACTGCATTTTAGTGCTCATGTTCTTTGTAGGCCAACTCTTGAATTTCAGATACTCTTATGTATCAATTCCTCTGTTCAAGTAGTTAACGTATTGCTTAGCAAACTAATTGTAAGAAAACATTGAAATAACCAATAATTTTAACATTGAGCAGTCTTTTGATAAACATTTTGAAGGTGAACAAAGGTTGCTATTTATTTGCCTTCTAGTTATGCCTCTCACACCAAAACAAAGACTACTTTGAGTTACAAGATAACATTGTTTACTTGTTTAGTGTACACCTTTAATCCCAGCACTCAAAAGACAGGCAACGACAGACACATCTCCTGTTTGAAACCAGCCTGTCTACAGAGTTCCAGGCAAGCCAGGCCTATGAGACTTTGTCTCAAAAACAGAGAGCTAGAGAGATGGCTCTGTTAAGAGTGCTGACTGCTCTTCTAGAGGATTTGGGTTTCATTTACAGCATCCATATAGTGCTAGCAACCTTCTATAACTCCAGTTCCAGAGGAATCAAACCCTCTTCTGGACTCTCTGGGCAGTTCATGTGCAGACATACATGCAAGTACATCACCTCTGTATGTAAAATGTTTTAAGAAAAAGAAAAGAATTCGGGACTGTTACCCTAATATGAAGGTTTAGATGCTAAGATTTTAATGTTTCTAAGTATTTCTATTCTGTTTGCCTAGCACCAAATCAAATGAAAGCCAAGGAAGGGAGAAATGTATACAGCTCTTCACGATATGATGATTATGATCGATATAGACGTTCTCGGAGCCGAAGTTATGAAAGGAGGAGATCAAGGAGTCGCTCTTTTGATTACAACTATAGAAGATCTTACAGTCCTAGAAAGTAAGTGTGGGACACAATGATCTGTTATTGTTTAATGTTTGTAGCCAACTACAGTGGCATTTACCTGTGATCCCAGCTTTTCAGGAGACTGAGATGAGAGGGCCACATGAGCCCAGGAGTTCTAGGCTCACAATAAAATACTGTAAAGCCCTGTCTTAAAAGTAAAGAGATGTTTATTAACATGTAAAAATATATGTGTATATATATTGCCTTTTTAAATATTCATTAAGACTCTAAATAGACATTTGTCACTGTTTGCTTTTTCTCATATGCTTTTTAGCAGTAGACCGACTGGAAGACCACGGCGTAGCCGAAGCCATTCCGACAATGATAGGTAAATAATTTTGCTTTGAGAAAGACTCCTGTTTTTCGATTTCAGAGTGAACTTTTGCTCTAAAAGTAACAAATTTGATTAATATAGAATCTAATTTTTACTCTAATTGTATCTCTCCTCTGTTTTGAAAGATTCAAACACCGAAATCGATCTTTTTCAAGATCTAAATCCAATTCAAGATCACGGTCCAAGTCCCAGCCCAAGAAAGAAATGAAGGCTAAATCACGTTCTAGGTCTGCATCTCACACCAAAACTAGAGGCACCTCTAAAACAGATTCCAAAACACATTATAAGTCTGGCTCAAGATATGAAAAGGAATCAAGGAAAAAAGAACCACCTAGATCCAAATCTCAGTCAAGATCACAGTCTAGGTCTAGGTCAAAATCTAGATCAAGGTCTTGGACTAGTCCCAAGTCCAGTGGCCACTGATAGTATAAATCATGATACTTTCTAGGCATGTATCATTCATTTACTCATAGTTTGGTATACTTAAATTATCAGGAATACAATGTTGCAATGATGCGTTTTAAAAAAAATAAAATAAAAAACACCTGTTAGTTTTCCCTGTACCAGGCAATGGTTATAATTAAAATGATATGCTGTTGAGAAGCCACTCTTAAGAGTCCAGTTTGTTTAATGTTATGGGCAGCTACCAATTTGTGGTGTCTCTGTATATTTTTGTAAAGATCCTCATTTTTTTATGCTTGAAGTATTTGGTGAAAAGATGTTGGTTGACCATAATTTGCAACATTGTCTTATTAAAAATAAATTTTCATATCCATATTTGGTAGAAGTGTTAACCTAGAAATGTAGCTTGCTAAGAAGATAGAATGATACAAAACTGAAGTTGTAGCCACATTACAACACTGACTGCTCAGACACATTTAGGTTCAGGGTGGACCTTTATGTCTTGTCAAGATGTCTAAGCCCATGGTGATTATTTATGATGCAATGTGGAATAGGTTTGGTTTTGTTTGTTTGTTTTGGTTTGATTTTTGTTAACTCCACTGTCTGGGGAATGATGCCAACTGGGTTAAATAGTATTTTCAGGGAGATTGAACTTTTCAGTGAAACATGAAGTCTTCCCTGCTTTCCCCTTCCTCCCCGCCCCGCTGGTTTCAAAGAATTGAAACGTAAAATTATACATAAGAATTCCCCGTTAAGTTTTGAACATGTCAGTGATGGCGGGAATCATTTTAAGGGGAAAAGACTTTTTTTAGCATAGTTTCTCTAAAATTCAACTATTATTATTTAGGGGTTTTATTTTTTTTTTCTGTTAGGAGCAAGTAAACTGAAAGTACAATTTGTTTATATACATAGTGTAAAACAAAGTGAATTTTGATGCTTACAGCACTTGGTGTGTGTGTATGTTTGTATCAGAGTCTGCCTGTCCTCTTCATGAGGAAGGCTTGCTCTTTACACCTCAGTTTATTAATGTAGGCAAGTTGAAAAGATGACACTCCTAGGTGATTCTGTGGTGCCGTGAATTTTTGGAAAATGTTGAGTTTTAAGCAAAGGCCACATCACTTAGTTTTTGATAATGTAGGACATGCCTAAAATAAGGAAGCGATACCCTTAAATATTTATAATTTCTAGTATTTCTCTTCAAGATCATTAGGAGACAGTAAAGTGACTTGAAATGTCCAGTGTCATTTCAGAATTAAAAGTAAGCATCTTTAAAATCTCAGACTGCTTGCTTGTGGAGGTGAGTGGAGATAGCGTGGGGGCGATCCTTCTAGAGGATTACCTGATTTTTTTCTTTCAATTTTGATTTTAGAAATTTAGGCCTTGCTTGTAGAGAATAAAAGATGGTTTATTAGAACTGTTTGTGGAATGTGTTTGGAGGATTAATTCTAGAATCTTTGTATATTTAATAGTATTTTTAACTTTCATTTCTTTACTGTTTGCAGTTAATGTTCTTGTTCTGCTATGCAATCATTTATATGCACGTTTCTTTAATTTTTTAGATTTTCCTGGATGTATAGTTTAAACAACAAAAAGTCTATTTAAAACTGTAGCAGTAGTTTGCAGTTCTAGCAAAGAGGAAAGTTGTGGGGTTAAACTTTGTATTTTCTTTCTTATAGAAGCTTCTAAAAAGGTATTTTTATATGTTCTTTTTAACAAATATTGTGTACAACCTTTAAAACATCAATGTTTGGATCAAAACAAGACCCAGCTTATTTTCTGCTTGCTGTAAATTAAGCAAACATGCTATAATAAAAACAAAATGAAGGAAATAATGATTAACTGGAATTATTATAGTACTGAATGAGTCTAAAATAATGGAAATTACCATTTTTTGTAGATTTAGGGATATTTTAATCAGTGTTGACATTAGGTACAACTAACCTGTTCTGGGGATGATAGAACTTGCCAGAAATCTACATATTTTACATAGTACTTAAGAATTCCTTATGTCAGAGTCATTTCATGATTGCTCACTAAGCCTCTTCAGTTAAATCATATAAGAGGTTATTTAGTACTGTTGATAGGGATATGAAAATTTGACAAGCTAACTCTAAATTTATGTTTTCATTATTACAAAGTAGTATCAATTCTGCTCTTTCCTTTTCCTAAGGAAGACATGTTGGGTTTATGTTTATGACATGATTTTAGAAGCTTTTTCATCGAATGTTCATGAGCAATTTAAACAATGACCACTTGGGCGGGGGGTAGGTATTTTTGTGGATTGAATTCTAACTATTTTAACAGTTATAACTGATTTAGTATTTATGCTGAGCCAGACTTGGTTAAAGAGACTTGATTGATTCGTTCACTTCACAAAACCCTTTTAGAAAGATATTCCCCCATATCCGGAAACTAAAGGCACAGTAAATGCTACCAATGACAGAGCCAAGATTTGAGCCCAGATTTGATGCTTAAATTTTTTAAAAACGATAGGTAAAGAGGTACCCCCATAACACTGTGTTTAGTCTGTTTTGTTAATTTATTTTTACACTCAAACTGTTTTAACTTGAGAAGCTTACACATTGTGTATGACATGGTATGCCCAACAGAGCTTCACAAGGACTATATACAGTTGCACTCATAGTGGCATCCTACTGAGACCCAGTGAGGAGTTTCAGTTTTAAGCTAAATATGGGTCGTACTAAGTTTCATAGTCAGTGAGAACCTCTTGTGTGTCTACACTGGGCTCTATTGAATAGGACATTTGTGTTGAGACTCAAATGAAGGCTGACACTTCGCCTTTCTTTTTACTTAAGCTCTCTGCTTTTTTTTCCCCCGTCTAAATAAGCCAAGTAAGCAAGAAGAAAAGTGAGAGGTCATGAATGCTTCAGTGAGAAAGGACAGGTGCTACATAGAGTTTGAGCTATTAAGTTACAGCCTAGGGAAAAGACCTGGGAAATACTGTACTATTCTCTTGAAAATTTGGCCCAGTAAGCTGCTACATCCAGTTCAACTAACAAAATCCTGTATACCACAGAGAAGAATAAAGAGAAAACCAAACTGACAAACATCCTTCTTTTATTTAAGACCAAACTGCAGCTGGAATACCCAGTACAGTTCTGCTTACTACACTTCAAGAAAGATCTGAAAGCGGAAAAAAGAACCAAAGAAGGGCAGTTCAAGCGACCAAAGGGTGGGTGGAAGGTGCTGCAGTATGAATACTGTACGAATATTTTGACTCTGGTCTGAAAAGATAAAAGAATTATCGAAAACTACATGGAATAATTGAAGTCCCTTCAAGTTTGAAAGTAAGCATTTTAGGACAAATAAAAGGAAATTCAACTTTGTACTTGTGGAAACTAATCCCTAAATATGAACAGATATATATTGACTCACGGGTGGCAGATCCAGGATAACTTACTGGTAACTAGGATGTCTGAATATCAAGGAAGACAGCCATAGTCTCTTAACAGTGCCTCTCTTGGTCTGTCTCAAACTAAATTGAATGGTAAAGGTATGGTCCAATATAAAATTTTTCTTGGTTATCTTAAAAATCAGTTCCACTTAACGCCAGTGTTGGCAGGTCTTGCCTTTGTTTATTCCAGTGCCAGTATTTTCTGCTTAACTGTTTGTTTTGTTGGCATCTGAGTTTATTTACGTGTATACCATGTATAGTTTACATCTAACCACTCCTTCCTGGGTTAATTCCACTTATACTTGACATCCAACCATGAGGGCCCATCTCTTTCTCACCTCTTGCCTAGACAGTATGTTCAACAGATATTTATTGAATCCTTACTGTGGGCAAAACATACTGGATAATTGGAGAAGGATAATTACTTTATCTAGTAAGTACATATTGAGCACAATCTAGTGAGTCATTACAGTATGGCCACATTTTGAAGTGTATTATGGCGATTTTTCATATTCATATCCTAATGTAATTATAAAACTACTATCAAAGATAAGTAATTTTATGGTTGTCTGCCATTTAAAATTATCTAGTATTTGTATTTCATGACTACAAATAAGAAAACCTGTGATAAGCAGATTTACTGTGCAGTGATTAATATGCTAGAGTAATAACTAAATTGTTCACTCCTGGCTCAGTCAAACAAATAGATAATCCCCAGAATAACAAGTATTTAACTTGGCATTAAAGCAGACCCTGGGTGCTATAATTAGATTATTTTGAGGCAGACAGCTGTTACCCCAGTGACTTAGTATATTCTGTATTGGGAAAGAAATGTTTACCAGATTAGACTTTTTAGTGATATACTTGTACATTTTATAGGGGACATATTCTGTGTATAGGTGATAACTTTGTAGTGTCACAAAATGTTTTTGATTCCTTGGTTCCTTGTTAGGATATGAACCTGTTTATCAACATTGATTCCATCACATTTGAATTTTTGTTGTATTTTTGCCACATTTAAAATTGTCAAAAATCTGGAAACAGTGTAAAACCTTTTATAGCAATTTTTAAAATGTAATAGGATTACACATAAATGAAGGGAGGTAAAATGAAGGTTATTTTATTTGTGTTAAACAAACTTTTCAGCCTGCCCAAACTTAGAAAGGCAGCAGGTACCAGGTGAGAATTAAAAATTTTGGCTTCGTTTTTGTTGCTGTTTTTATTTTTAATCAAGTTGGAAATGCTTTTATAGTTTTATTTTCAAGGACACAATAAAAATTGATAAAAACTGAATTTAGCATTTATTTCAAGATTATAAATCACAAAATGTGTTTTTTAGCATTACATAATTAGCATTGGATTGGTTTTAAAGATAGAAGTTCTGTGTATTTCACAGTTATCTGTGCAATTCATAGGTGTTTTGTTCTCTACTTCCCCTCTCCATTTCCTTTCAAATTGAACTTAAGGCCTTCCAGAGGAGAGAATGAAGTGTGTTTACATGAGGGTTTGATTTGGTTTGTTTTTTTAATTGTACTATTTGGATTTCTTTGCTTTTAGGGGTTTCATTTACCAGAATTACCTTGTTTGTTTACAAGTACAATAACCGTACTTGACAGCTCTTAAGATTTCAAGTATGGTAAATTAGAAAGGGCCCCTGTGGTTTGGGTAGCTGTAGAGTTAAATTGTTTTAGCCTGTCTATTGTGGTTTCCGTGTATATTAAAGGGTCGATATACTAAGCACTTGCTGTGCCAAGTTGTATGTTTCTCAGCTATTCCTATTTCACTTTGAAAAGCATCACTTGTCTCTGAGGGATGCCCAATATGTGGACAGAGATTTTTGCATACATATTCCTTACACCTTCTTCAACTTTACTAGGTAAAATGTAGATTAAGTGTATTATTCTAAGATTTATAGGCTGTCTGGAGCTTGGGTACTCCACACTGGCTTTTCCAAACTTCAGTATCTTTGGAGTATTTTTGTGCTACCTTTTTTTTTTAAGTTTGTTTTTATAAAACACTAAGATTAAAGAATATAGAGTAGCCAGGACTCTGGGGATCATCAAAGTCCTTATAAAGGAAATTTTCAAAGAGGAAATGTCCTCAATTTTCAAGGATCTAGTAGATGAATTAAAGAACTTTGTCTTCAACAAGTTTCGCCAAGATATCCTATGGAAGACTTTCTCTTAGTGTTTTCCTGTCTCTTCTTTCAGCAGTGTTGGTTATTAATGTTTGTGTATTTGTAAAGTTGGTTCGGGCGTGTAGGCATGTAAATTTTCATTAGTAACAGTATGTGAAAGGTCTTGTAATCCAGTTTTTTGTAGGTCATATTTCTTTGAATGCTGGAGAGAGTAAAATAAACTGGTCTAGGTGCTTTTAAAAAAAATTCTTGCTTTTTTCTATAGACTTCGTTATACCTTACAGGTATGACTGCCTGAGTAGACAATTTTGTTTCTGAGGTGTTAGAGCTTTATTATTTGATTTAGCCATTGCCCGAGCTGCAAAATTTAGAACCATCTGAAATCCTCATACATGCACTTTGTACTTAGACTTAAAATAAGGTTGTTGTCATGGAGACAACACTACACGTTGACACCAAAATACAAGAAAGCTTCTCAGTATGTGGCTACCAGACTTCATGAGTGCTTTTTATATTTTGGTGTTTATGCCTCCTAAGTAGTGGACTTACAGGTTTTTTGAGGCAAGGTCTTGCTGTCTTGGAGCCTCAAACTATCTAGCTGCCTCTGCCTACATACTCTCGATTCCTGTTAATTTTCTGTGAATAATCATGAAATGGGGAAATTTTTTATTAAACTGTTTTAAACTCAACATTTGTAAGGTTGCACAAGTTATTTGGGTTTTTTGCTGTTAGCACTGTAGGAAAGTGTAGAGGAGCTGGGTACGTTGATCCACACCTTTAATCTCAGAAGAAAGGTCCAATTTAACAACCAGCAAGCAAAGCAGTAGCCTCACTGACCAACAGTCATATCCCGAAATTTGGCAGCCGCAAATCATTTCAATCAAAACAATCTACTGGGGAGGAAAAGTTTTATTTTTTAATTTCATACTTCAAAATTAGATCATAATTTTATGAACTTGTCCTTTAGTATACTCTTGATTTGGGCAGTATCTGGTCTGAACTTAATTGAGGAAATACAAATTGGTAATTTTGCTCAAGCACTGAAAAGTAACTTGTGTTTGGGCTAACGTGCTAGAGATTGCTTTGCATAAATAATCCTGGGTCACACTTAAATCATCACTTTTATGATTTGATAAAGGCAATGAATCTTTGGGTTTAAAAAGATCAGGAAGAAAATCTGGCTGCATCTTACATCTCTTTTTAAAAACAGGAAATGTCTTGGCAGCTTAAAGCCTTTCAATATAAAAACTTAATACAACAGATTCACTTTGTATGGGTTACAATCACACCACTTACATCGATACACTGGCACTTAAGCACAAGGGCAATCTTTTGAAAACTGGAGACCTTTAAAATTAGGCCATAGTATAAAAACAGTTCATAGTCTTATATTCACCAGCAAATTCACATCAAAAATAAGTTTGCTTTTTTTTTTGCAGAATAAAGGGAAGGAAAACTTTACATATGTTACAAGCTTATTACATGTATTTACATGGCTCTTTTCTTCCCTAGGTATTTAATTTTCACATACACAACTCCCTGCTTCAAGCAAGCTTTGTAGGAAGCTACTGAATAGAAATGTAAAAGATTTGGTATATGATGCTTATCCAGTACATAAGAAATGACCACTATCATCTACTTCACCTCATTCCAATAAGAGGCAGCTATTTGAAAAGATGCCTGTGGTGTTAGGGTTTGGGTGTTTCTAGAACATGTAATTGAACTACGCGCCTTGTTTGCAGCCTTTATATCTTATTAGCTAAATGCTTACTGTCTGATTTCCTTTTTTTGTTTTCCACTAGACAATAAAAAGCTGGTTACTGTTCTCCAAATCTAAGCTTGAATTTGGTTAGCAAAACTACCAAGTAGGAATAGCTACTTAAATTATGACACTATTATAATATAGTGTACATAGGACATAAATCAGATATCTGCTTATAGTTGTGAATTAGTTTTATAAAAATTCTCTAAAGTCAAACCAACTCATGGCTACATGTGAACATCACAAAACTTAAAATTAGTACTTAGATTTAAACCTGTACTTTAAGTAGGGTTTTAAGTTGAAATGTCATTATTTCCTTATCTGAAGGGTTCAATGAAACAGGAACCCAGTGGCTTGGTGGCTTGGGCAGAACACTTGGTGATGGTGGTTCACTAAATTTGGCTCCAGCATAGTTCTGGTTAGCCTGAGACTTAAAAAGCAAGCTTGGACTTGTTAAGCTACCATTCCAATTTGGGTCGTTAGAAAGACTTTTGTTCTTTCCCCCATTCTGCATGGCCTGCCATGCAGCTGCCGATGGACTGTACCCATGTCCTCTTTCTTTTTTCTTATGAACGATCTTCATCTGGGAATTCTGATCCTTGGTCTTCTGTCTGTTGTGCTGTTGTTGGCTCTTACTAACATTTCTAGATTGAGGGGCTGGAATGTTATACCTCTCTCCACCACCCATCTTGAGCTTCTTTGTCACCTGGAAGTAAATAAATGTAAACACGAGTAAATTTCCACATTTTTTTAAGTTTCCAAAGTTTGTATTCTAGAAATGTTGGTAAAGAAAATAGGAACTAGGAGCTGGAGAGATGGCTCAGAGGTTAAGAGCACTGGCTGCTCTTCCAGAGGTCCTGAGTTCAATTCCCAGCAACCACATGGTGGTTCACAACCATCTATAATGGGATCTGGTGCCTCTTCTGGTAGAACACTGTATACTTAATAAATAAAATCTTTAAAAAAAAAAAAGGAAAAAAAAAGAAAATAGGAACTAGCTGCCATTACACAGGCTTGCCCCACCAGACCATTTACCTCAAAAATATTAAAGCTAGTCCTAACCCAAATACCAGTTGTTTGTGAATGCTAAATAAAAGAAAATTAGAAAAAGACCCACACGTAAATACATCACCAACCTCTTTTGGACAGGGTATCCTGTACCAGAATGACCTCCAATCAGTTTAAGCAGTTTTGCCCCGACCCCTTGAGTGCTGGGATATGCAGTCCTTAATGGTTTAAAATTACTTATAAATATTAGCCTCATTATGATGAATCTTTTACCACTATAATAACGAGGAGATGTGAATCTTGATACCTTTCAGTCTGCTTCTCAGATTGCAGGATCTCCACTACTTGTCCTCTTCCTTGCTGCCAAGCCCAGGATAAGAGATGTTGCTTTCTGCTAGATCCTTTCCTTTGTCTCAATACATAAGTTTTCATGAGCCAATCTGCTGATTTCAGCCTAGGAGCTGAGGCCAACATCGAGTCTCCTCAGCACACAAGTCTGAGAGAAGTCCTAGCTAGAAAATGAAAGATAATTACTCAAAAACAACCCAAAAAAGTGATCGCTTAAACACGCACGTAAGATGGCTGTTACTTCCTCAAGGCTTTTAGAACATAAGACCATGACTTTCCTTGACCTCATTCATATATGTCAACCAATTCTCAGCGATGTCTTGTAAGGCCTCTCTGGCCACCGCTTTAAAGGCAAACTAAGGAAGCGTTTGCTTCTGTGACCGCACAGCATAGTTCCTATGAAACTTGGGACCACGTTTTTCAAATTCTATCCGGATTTTTTGCTCTAACCCCACAGACATTTCCACATTTAAGCTGTTACCAACAACGTGCATGGATGGTGCTTTTGGGTTGAGTCCACACTCCCGGTTCCGTACGAAACCGTACCATTAACCATGCACGCCGCCCAAAGTGAACGATCATCGAGGTTTCTCGCTGTTCAAACTAGCATGGCTGAGAGAACCTCCAATTTTTCTGTCACAATGTCCGCACTCGCAATAAGCCCGAAATGCCAGCCCGCAGGCTGACCGCCTGCGCCCGGGGTTCAATTCCTGGGGAGACGCGTTGCCCGGCCCAACAATGGCCCGTGGTGGCCAACATGGCGGTCCCCGCCACACTCACCGACTTCGAGTTCGGGCGGTGGCGGCAACTCCCTCTCGACCTCCAAACCTCCCTCCCTTAACAGGGAGAAACGATTCGCGGATCAAACACTGCCCACGAGCGACTCACAGAGCACAGTTCGTCCTCTACCAGCCTCCTGCTTTACTGACAAAATGGAGGCCCCTCCGAGCGCGGAAGAGGGCCGGCGACTCCGCAGCCAATGAGGGCGCGGCAGCTGCGTCACGGCCAATGAGACGCCGGCCACCGCCTGTTGCTGGGGCAGGCCGGAGCGAGTGCGGGCCGGCTGTTGTGGTGGTTTGAAATCCTGCGGGAGGAGCATGTCGGGAATAACCGCCCGGCGGCCGAGCTGGGCTGCGGGGCTCTCCCGCGGGCTGGCGGCGCGCCAGCTGCTCTCCGGGCGGCCGGGCTGCTCGGCTGCTTCGGTGACCAGGCCCTGCCCAGCCGCCGTGGCTTTGTTTCTGGTTCTGTGCCCTGCCGTCACTTTGCGATCCCCGCCTAGAGCCCGGCAAACATTGTGCACACGACTGTTTCACGTCCTTTGCGAGGCCCCTCTGATGTAACTTTAGTTTTTCTCTGGACCTGAGACCGTCACCATGAGGACCTGCTTTTTCTAAACACAGCACTGGCTAGTCCCTTACTGCATTTTAGGTCTTGTTTAGTAAGTGGGAAAAATGGGAGAGAAATTACATCAAGGTTCGGGGAAGAAAGAAGAGGGACATCTTTTTGGTTATTGGTTTTTGTTTTTTGAAAAAGAAAAATAGTGTGTATCCCAAAATCAAGGGTTTTAAAAATGAACACTGAATTCTATAAATAATTGGCGGGGAAGGGAGGGGCGGGCGTAAATGATCCAGAATCAATCAGGTTTGTGCTGTGTGTTTTAGCTCATTTCTGTAATCCCAGTTTCTCAATTTCGAGGTCAGACTGAACTACATAGCAAAACTCTGTCTCAACAAAACAAAAACATTTTTTTTAAACAAAAAACATTTCATTGGCTCCTAATTGTAACGCAGTTGTCCCCCTCCCCAGGATTTTGCAAGCCTGTACCGAACATCATGAGTGCTTCTTATGCTGCATTTGTTTATTTCTTCTCACCCTTACAGCAATTTTAAGGGCAAGGTGATATTTTTACTCCCACTGTACTGGGGAAGTAACTGGGCTTCAGAAAATCTCAGTGGTCTGCACTTCCAAATGCACTTCCAAAACATGAGGCAGTGAGATCCCAGAGCTCAGGGAGTGTGCCTGAAAGGCGATCACATGCTGTTGCTAACAGTGCCAGGAGGTTGGGTAGCGTGAAGCCTGCTTCTTGCCAATTGGCAGAATCCGCTCTCTCCACAAGGTCAGAGTCAGACTGCCCTTGGGAGAGCAATGGTCTGGCTTTTGCCATCTGGCTTTTGCTCATTCGTTAGCAGCTACCAACAGCCACGAGAGCTCTGAGCTGGGGACCATGTGTGAAAAATAGTGCCTCTTAGGAGAATCCCTTCCTTGCCTGGCTTATCCCCTCCCATCTTGAGTCCTGTTTATGTATCTGTATTTGTTCTGCGCATTGCATGATTGCAGTGCTCTGGGATGCCAGAAGAGGGCGTCCGATGCTCAGAAAGGCTTTAGAGATGACCATACTCTGCCCCCTGCGGTGCTGGTCCTCATCCTCAGCTCTAAAGGAACTCTTTGATCTCCATACTGACCTTTAAAAATCAGTTTCACAAACACAATCGAATCACTACTTCTGAGTTAAAGCAGGAAAATGTTAACCAGGCCTGATGGCACATGCTTTTGATCCCAGCAAAGGCAGGTGGATCTCTTGAGTTTGAGGACTGCCAGGATTACATAGAAACCCTGTCTTAAAAAACAAAACAAAACAAAATCATCAAAAAAATGCTGATGCCGGGCAGTTGGTGGCACATGCCTTTAATCCCAGCACTCAGAGGCAGAGGCAGGCGGGTAGATCCCTGTGAGTTCAAGGCCAGCCTAGTGTACAAGAACTACTTCCAGGGCATGCTCCAAAGCTAGAGAAACCCTGTCTCAGATAGATAGATAGATAGATAGATAGATAGATAGATAGATAGATAGATAGATAGATAGATAGATAGATAAAACCTCTCTGTGGATGTAAATCTCCATACAAGAGGGCAAATAGCTAACCGGGCCAGGTAGTGGTGGCTAGGGAGGCAGAGGCAGGTGGATCTCTGTGAGTTCGAGGCCAGCCTGGTCTACAAGAGCTAGTTCCAGGTCAGGCTCTAAAAGCTACAGAGAAACCCTGTCTCTAAAAACAAACAAAAAGAGGGCAAATAGCTACCAAAGGCAACAGTGTTTCTGTTTGTTTTAAGACAGGGTCTTGGGCTGGAGAGATGGCTCAGTGGTTAAGAGCATTGCCTGCTCTTCCAAAGGTCCTGAGTTCAATTCCCGGCAACCACATGGTGGCTCACAACCATCTGGAATGAGGTCTGGTGCCCTCTACTGGCCTGCAGACATATACACAGACAGAATATTGTATACATAATAAATAAATATTTAAAAAAAAAAAAAAGACAGGGTCTTGGGGCTGGAGAGATGGCTCAGTGGTTAAGAGCATTGCCTACTCTTCCAAAGGTCCTGAGTTCAATTCCCAGCAACCACATGGTGGCTCACAACCATCTGTAATGAGGTCTGGTGCCCTCCTCTGGCCTGCAGACATACATGCAGACAGAATATTGTATACATAATAAATAAATAAATAAATAAATATTAAAAAAAAAGACAGGGTCTTTCTTAATTATGTAGACTTGGCTGGTCCTGAACTCATTGAGATCTGCCTGCTTCTTCGCCCCAGTGCTGGGACTAAAGGCTATGTGCTTGATTTAAAATATTTAGCCAAAATTTATATAGCTGGGCTTTCTGCCACACCCTAGGGTTACAAAAGTAAATGAAGCCTCATCTATCCAAAAAGAGGCCAAAACCCTTTCCTATTGATCAGAGAGGGGAGCTGAGGTTTGGAGACATTCGTCGTCTTTTTCTCCAGTGTCAAGAAACAGGCAGTGCCAACTACAGACATAAACAACCTGCTTATTGCTGGGGAGTTCGAAGTTAACCTGCCACTGCTAAGGAGGTTCAGCCTGAAGGTTTTCCACAGCAGAGTCTTCTAATAATAAATCAGTAGACGTGTGTAGGGGGTGGTTCTGGGCTCCGTGGTAAAGCACTGGCTGTGAACTATGAGGAGCTGAGTTCAGAACTTCCGGGCTCCCACAGAAGTTTGTAACTGCCGTGGGAGGAAAAGACAATTCTGGGAACTCATGTGACTGCTGTCTAGCCAGTGAGCCCCAAATTCAGTTAGAGAACCCATCTCAAAAGATAAAGTGCAGGACTCCGACATGGTGACAACACCTTGTACTCCAGCACTTGGGAGACAGTGGCAGGTGGATCTCTGAGTTCTGGGGCAGCCAGGCTTAGTGAGAGCCTGAGTCAATTAAAAACAAAAAAAAGAGGTAGCTCAGCAGGTAAAGGCCCCCTGCCAAGCCTGGTGACCTGAGTTCTGGGAGCCACATGGCAGAAGGAGAGTGCAGACTCCCACAAACTGTCCTCTGTATGGCCACACTGTACCTGGCATTCACTTGCACACCCAATAAAAGAAGAAATAAATAATGTAAGCAAATAATAGGCCATCGAGGAATGTCAGCCTCTGACCTGAACAGGCACCCGTGTGCCCCACAGCCCCACCACACACACGCACATACACACATGGTTTGGTAAATATTTCCCACCTAATCTAAATGGAAGTAGAAAGCCAAGTGTTTCTAAAAGAGGACAGACCAACCAAGTGGCAGCTGCGGGCTTATTTACACTCTGGAGGGCCAGGGCGCTCGGCCCCGTGGTCCACACCTTTACAACTCTCTAGTCTACTAACTGGCCTGTCGATCGGTTAAGGCTTGTTCTTTCTTCTTTAAGCTTGTTTATAAGTTCGCGGTCAATTTGAATGCGCAGGCCTGCCAGCTGATGGCTTGATTCAATTTCTCAGGAAATCCATACCTGCCAAAACGGTACAGGGGAGCGCCACGCCTGTGGGTCTCTGAGATTCAGGGCTCCCATGCTAACTGGCTGGTATGAAAACCCACACCTCCTTCCGCAGCCCTTGCGTTTGTTTCCTGGGGAAGCATCTGGGACCGGTTACGCAAGCTCGCACATTCCGGAGAACTCACAAGTCTATTGTCAGCCCCGTCAGTCATCTGACTCTAATTACCAAACGGAGCACAGGAAGTCCGTGGGAAACTCCCACAGCTCTCACGGTGCTCAGAGAGGCGTTCACCCTTGAAGACCTTAAAGAGCTCCTCTGCCCGAGCTGCAGCATACCACCCCACATTCTTGGCCTTGGGGGGATGGGGCCATGAGGGTTTCAGTCCAGTTGAGTCCAGTCACTGTTCTGGGTGATTCTCGGGCAGTCCCTTATCATGGAGCTGGGTCTATGGAGTCCCTGTTCCCCATGGGGCCCTCAGCAACACAGGAGAAGGCCCTTAACACCCAGCTTAGGTTTGTTGTGTAAGTAGGTTGTTTGAACCGGACCCCCTGTACCCCAGGCTGACCTCAAACTTGCTTTGCAGCTGAGGAAGACCTTGAATGGTCTTGCTGCTCGCTCTTCCCAAGGGCTGGGTTTACAGGTGTACACCTTCATGCCGGGCCTAGTTTATTTATGCTTTTGAAGGCATCACTAAATTGTGAACATGTTTCCGTGTAACTACAAACACACATGCATGGTTATTAATAGTATTTTATGCTATGACTATGTCCCTAATTTTACAGTCAGCCACTGTTTACAGTTTTCTGCTCTCACATGCTGACCTGTCTCTCCTCAGAAGTTTTCACGTCCTCAAATAAATTTACCTTAAATTCCCAGCTACGAAAATACTAGGTCATGAAGCAAATATTTAGGGTAAGTGCTGGCTGCTTTTGCATCAACTTGATGCAAGTCAGGGTCACCTGGGAAGAGAGAAGCGCCATCGAGAAAATGCCCCCACAGACCGGTGTCTAAGCAAGTCTCTTGGGCCTTTTCTTGATCAATGATTGGATGGGAAGGCCCAGCCCACTGCGGGCAGCACCACTCCTGGGCAAGTGGTCCTCAGCTGTATAGCTGAACAAGCTGAGCAACAAGCTGAGCAAGCCAGAAAGCAGTGTTCCTCCTCCGCCTCCGCTTCGATTCCTGCCTCCAGGTTTCT